CTACATCATATCTTAAAATGACATCTCTACCTTTTTAAAAATACCCCCTATAATGTGTTGTTACTTTGAGTAAAAATGTGTAAAGAGTAGGTAATTGAAAACATCAATAAGTACCAGTATACATTATTTTCTGTATAAACAATTGTTGTAAATTTGCAAAAACTATCAGTGGATTCACCTTTACAGTAAAGAATAAAAAATACAAAAGAAATACAAATTCATTTAATCTCTAACAAACACTAATCAAATGCTTGATCGAAAATGGTAGCTGGCCACGAGGACGTGTTTTTTTAGTAAAGCTTATTTCCAATTTAACTATGGTTGGTTATGTTTAATATTATTTTTATGGTCTCTGTTTATAAACACTAGTATGGAGTTTTTAAAGTTTTAAACTACTTTTAAACCTTTTTAAATAATATACACTTGCAAATTTAAATATCCATTTTAATTGATAACTAATGCATTTATATATATTTTATACTAATAATTAGTAAAAATTAGATTATTTTGTTTAACATGTATGTTGCATGTTTTACACAAATGAGTGGTTGATATTAGCTTTTCCTCTATTTTAACAAAAGTGCTTTTAGGTTCTGGCACAGAAAGGTCGCCAGGGACAATATTACTTTCCGTAAATGGTGTCATGCTAATGAAAATATGTTCGAGTAAAATGTTATTCCCAAACCAACCATTTTCAGTTTAAAAGTTTATATTTATATGTATGATTTTTTAGTATAAACATACGTATAAAGCTAGATGTACTGTTTTTTTTTTAATTTTGTATCATAAATAAGATTCATTAATATATATACTGTATATTTATAAAAAAATTTTTTGTCAACGCTGATTAAAATATTGTTATCAAGTTCTACACAAAAAATCTAAGCTTTCCGTAACCTATTTTATAATATAAAAATATCCATAACTAGTAAAAAATATTGAAAATTACTAAGATAATTTTAAGTGTTGGAATTAATAATATCCGTATCGTAGGTCAAAGGTTCATAAATAACTCAACAATTCTGCAGGGATCTTGTTTTCAACGAATGTCATCAGCGCTGCAGTGGCAATTAACGCCCGAATACAGACAACAGGTTTAGCTGTCACTAGTTTTTACAATATCCTTCTTTATTACGTGCGTTAATTTGGTAAGGGATTCAACTTTTTATGTTTTAATCCCTTTAATACAATAAAAGGAATATAAATTAGTATTCCTAAATTCTTTTTTATTCATTTAAAAAATAAATATAACAGTGTATGACAAATTATAGTGTGCATAATATGCCTACTTATTGTTTCTTATTGTTAAGATAATAGCAATAATAACACTTTTTGCTTATTGTTGAGGTGGAAAGATAAAAAAAAAATTTAATATTGGGAGGCAGTATTAATAAGAAAAATATCAGAATACACTTTGTAATTAAAGGTTTTTCTTCAAATGTCTGTTTAGGAAAATTGCTAAATAAAATAATAAAATATTGCAATAGTTATTTAATACAACTAAAACTATAAATTCAACATAAATTGTATTTGTAGTTAATCAACCCGCAATGAGATTCCAATCAGTAATGCTTGAGAAATTGTTACCTTTCCATCTTCTACAAAGAACAATTTTCGCCAAATTAGTTTGCAATTGAATTTGAATGTTGTAACATATTTTAAACTGGAAATTTTATTCGTAATTCATAAAAGTTAAAACACAAACTAGAAAAACTGCAAGGGCATTAATAAATTATAAATATGTAAAACGATTGAAACATTATTACATCATATTGCAAAGCATAGAACTATAGAGACAGTAGTTGACAAAATTGGTAAAGAAAATTTAATATAAAAAAATTTGTATATTTTGTGCCTAGCGTCGTAAGACAACTCAGGTTTCATAATATTGCTTTTGTGTTATTTTGCTCAAGTTCATTCAACTTTAATAATTGCAGATAAATTGCATACTAGTTTTGTGTCAGCTTCTAAATAACACTTCTTAACGTGAATCGAAAAAAAGTGATTTTTAATAGCACTATTATTTAAGCACTTTAAACAGTTGAACTGTTTATTATAAGATATATTTAGAATTGGGTTTAAACTTACAACGACAACAAAATTGAGGTAAATATTTATTATGTTTAATCTTGAAATGAGTAAAAAATGGATAGTTCCATTTCAAATTCTACCTATTGGGAAAACAAAATGTGTAATCAATGTTATGGATATTAATTAGTTAATTAATTAAATTGATTATCAAGCGATCGTCAAAATCTAAGTACAAATAATTGATTGTAATTGTCCCTGTAACAAAGCTAGACAATTCACAAAGTGAACAATCATGACTATACAAACAAAGACCTCAAGTGGCTTCAAGAGACGTTTCTGCAATTCAATTATGTTTATTAGGGTTTGTACCGCTTCCACACGGTTTGTATGCAAATTACTGTACGTAGTCTGGGGTAGTAAGAGAGCCGCGATATAGACTTTCTGAAAGAACAAATAAATGTTATTTGCTAATTAAGTTAGTTACGTTTATATTAGTTGTTGCATTGGAGTTTAAGATCAGTATGGGTTTTTCATGTTCAGCTAAATAGGCTAAGGGTTTATTTTGTCTTACTTTTTAAAATGTAAATCTTAAACAATTTGTATAAAAATACTAGATTTCACTATAAAAGTATAACATTACTTGTATATCTTTTTATCAATGACTAGCCGTAAATTTATGTTTACTTTACCAAATAAACTTCTAGTTTATGTTACTGTAATGTATACAATATATTAATTAATTAACAATGTAATTGAAAAATGAAGTATCTTAGAAATAAAGAAACGAAGAATTTTGTTAGATGATAAGAATCGACACCTTTCATTAGTTATTTGTAAACTTTGAAACTCAATAAAGTCTGTTTACTCCCTTAAACGCTTCTTTCTTGTATAATTGCATAAATAATTTATTTAAGGAGTTTTGTATTCTAACATATTATTAGTCTGTGTTCAACTATCCCATCAGTAATATGTTTGTGGTAATTAATGTATATATAAAAATGCATAACAGTAGTTTAAAAAAATCTCTATTGTAAACAATAATATTCAATTCTTATCAGTAACCTAATTATTCTTAAAGAATAATATAAAGAAACTGTTTATTTTACATACATGTAAAAACAGCCCAAATCCATAGGTTGGTCTATGACAATTAGTATGAAAGACATAAGTTCACCGATATGTTTTCCATACCTAATATTCTTACCAAAGATTTAGCTATGCATGAAAATACAACATGAAATATATATACGGAAAAGTAATACTACGAAGCAGACATTGTGATCAACAAATTTGCTTATATTTAATTATAGTAAATTAAATTGAATCGCCCAATGAGAAGTGAAGTTCCTCCATATCATATGAGAGCTGTTGGCTCTGTCAGATGGCGCTGTCTGCAATTCAATTAGGTTTATTTAGTATCTCGAGCTACTGTCTTGTTTGTATGTAAATGTTTGTGTGAACAGTCAAGTCCCTTAATAAACTTTGGCCGAATGAAACGTTGGCTGTGCTTGTTAAGGAAACTATAAAAAATACTTAACCCTTCAGTTCGGATTGTTGACAAGGATTTGTCAAACAAAATGATAAATCTGGGGATAGTAAAAATATGACATTGAAGAATACCTTTTATACGGGATTAATCAATCTGTTTTCTCAAAGGTATAAAGAAACTGTGATGGAATGTTAATTGCTATGTCAATGTGGATGGAGTGTGTGGTAATTCCTTGATAGTATAATTTTATAGTAAAATCAAAATTAAACCGTTAAATTCTTCTGTTTACAATATTAACCTTTTCATAATTCAAATTATCAAAACATCGGACTAATTGTAGTATATGCAATTAATTTTGTTTTAAATTCTTTAAAATTGTGAAACGTATCTTCCCTTGTACATGTTCAATTTACTTTTGCTCTTTTGTTATCATTTTAAAATTTCCCTTATCACTTTAATGTAATAGTATATATGATATTAGGACAATGTATAAGTATACTATTTTATTGATGACGTTTTGAAATGAAACTTTATCAATTCTACTAAAAAACTACTTAATAAAAGTTTCAACATAGTTTTATTAAATCTAAATATATTAAAACATCTACATAAACAAAACAGAGTACAAAGTGTTTGCCATTGAAGGCAGCCCCAGTGTAATGTTGTATACTAAATGACCCCAAGGAATGTTACAGTGCTGAATGGTAAATGTTTGTTCAGTTTATAGGTCAGACTCGAAGTGATATATGAACGATAAAGTGTACAGAAAATACTCAATAAATAGGTGTATAAATACAGTAGAACCTTGAAAACAAGACTCTCATGGGGATTATAAAATAAGTCTGGTTATCAAGGTTGACTTCTTATTGAGGTTTGCAATAACATGTAAGAGGTAAAATAAATTCAAGGGGATTTGAAAAATACACTTGTTATTATTGAGTGTGGGGAGCAGGTGTTGTCGAGGGGGGGAATAACTTAATAACTTAATAACTTTTCTTATCGAGGTTCCACTGACACTAAACCTACATGGTAACCAAATGAGGAAGTAATACATTGTTTAAAAACTTTGCAAGTTAAAAAGTTATTTATGAAAGCTTACTACGTTACAACTACAATGTCTGCTGATCTTATTGCTTATCTTCTCTCTGCACATTTACCATTTGCAGTTGCAAAGCTCTTAAGCTCTTCACAACACATATTGTGATAGGTTATCATCTTAACGTTAAGCTTTACCATTTGGTAACTGGTTTGGATTTTCTAAATGTTTTTTACTCATTAATAAACAATTCGATAGCGTCACAGACTTTATATATTTTAGGGTGAATATGAATGAAAAGTGGGTGTGGTATACTGTATGTGTAGCTTTTGTTACTAAATAAGATCAGCTGCTTGATTTTGTTAGGCTTATTTATTAAAAGCTATATTATCAAGGACATCTAGGAACAGTTTTCAACTATCAAAACCAATTTACTTTCCCCAGGATCGAACCGTTGAACTTCTGACTGAGAGGCGAGCACTTGTAACCACATACCAGCCTTGCTCAATAACCCTAGTCTATTTCAGGTAAGGAAATATAAATTTCTATGTCTTTAAAAAAAAAAAAAAACTTTAAACTTATTTTAATGCCTTGTATCAAAGGAAATAAAGCTCCACAAAGATCTGTTAGGAGTAACCATTAACATCTCCCAGTTAAAGAGGCTTTTAAACGAACGGGTTTTTGTGCTTAATAAACCAACTTAATGAGTGTTCAAAGCTGCCAGAAACTTTTATATGATAAAATAACGTTTGATATAAATTTCAATACATTTTAAGTTGTATTTATTTCTCGGTACTTTCGTATCATACTGACTATACATAAATCGGTCAAATAAAACCCTTAGGTTAGGTTAGGTTTGAAATATTTTGTTTTAGAAACTAAATAAATGGTATTTTGAAGTATATTTATCGATGTGGTTGGTATAATAGGAAAGTACTTTTTCTCGTTTCATTTATTGTCAATATACAAATCAACGCTTTATACATCATACAATTTCTAAGAGGTATTAAAAAACTTACTAAATAAATGGATTAAAGTACAAAACCTTTCTGCAATACTTCCTCAAGCATAAAAAAGCTATACTTATTGCATTAACATTGTAATATCAAAAATGTATTTTTAGGCTGGTTTAATAAACTCCTGAACTCTCCGGTAATAATCTTAAGCTGCATGTTCCATTGAATAAATTTTATCAGATTACTTTTACATAAATAATATAAGGTTTCAATTTAGCGAAATGTAGAAACTCCTAATCCTTGCCTCACCCGATATTTCAACGTATAATCCCTCCTATCTGCACTGCTGCAATAGAAACATTGACGGTAAACTCGATTTTCTTTTACTTATTTTTTTTTTGTTTGCGTGCAAAACTGAATATAATTTCACAAAAAAATATGAAATACACAATTGAAGGCAGCAATGATGCAGCAAAGATTAGTTGTTTCTATGAAAAAAAAAACTCAGGAAAGAATAATAAATTAATTTACAAAAAAAAATAAACAGAGGATACACTAGATGCTTAAAAATCATCAAAATACAATTTTACCAATAAATGAATAATATAAATCGATCATTTTATTTTACATACTAATTTTATCTTCTTTAATATGTATTTAAGAAATAAAGTGTTTAAGTTAAAGTTAATACAAGTATATTATGCCTCGTTTGTACAAAAAAAATTATGTCAATTATTATAGCTTAAGGTAAGGCAAATAGCAATGTATTGAAAATCGAAAATATGTGTTATCGCTGACAAACACATCGCTCTGTTGATGAAACTTAGTTGATAATACGTAATTAGAAATATTTGACCTTTCCCTTTAATTATGTGACTATCAAGGAGGCATTTATTTGGTAAAAGGTTAATGTAGCGTAGAACGGGATTGCTTTGTAAAGGATTCGGAGACATTATAATTTCCCTTGATGGAGAGGCATAAAGAAAGCTTTGCTAATTTGTGCCTAATGAGGGTATTACATTTTATTTTTGGATACTAAGCCGATATTCATTGAAAGTAAAAGTGCAAATACAAATGAAAAGTCACCTAGGTTGAAAAATGAGCGAGAGTCAAAATTACACTCCTGGCAAGTTTAATGGTCTAATGCGCAATTATTTTAGATAACTAAATCACAAAACTATAATTTGTAGATTTATGACCTTAATGAATCACCTCTCAAAACTATTCCTACCTCCTTTTGCTGTTTCATGAGAAACTGTTTTCATTATTGTAGATGAAAAGTATTGCTTCTGAAAGAAAATTTAAAATTAAAATATATCAGATTTGTATATTTCTATAAAGGGTAAATGTCATTGTTATTGTATAAAATCATACAACCTGACATAAAAAAGTAAACATTTTTATAACAACAAAGTAATTTTATTGTCATTATTTGTAATACTTAAAAGGTAATATGTGCAGCTGATGTCCCTGATCCCAGCTGACTATTTTTTTTAGGATTAATACGCCACAACAAATTTAAGGTGAAACTGAGTGTGGGGAAAAATCGTTCAACTTCTGGGATCATATAAATCTCCGGAAAAGGTATCTAGCTATGAGTTAAAGATATATCCTTGACCTTTGTTCAACCTCTGTTGATCTTAGTAAATAGTATCGACCTATGACTGTATTAGTTAATCTTATTATTTAAGTTCATCAATGTTATGTCTTGCCATAAAGATATCAAAACATTTTCACTCCCAATTCCTCTAAATTGCTACAACTGAGACAATTTCATCCTGCTAATACAAAATCCTATAATCACGATATTGTCCTGATACAAATTTTTCGTTTTTTTTCGTTTTGTAGTTCATGGTTAATATTTAAATAAAACATCAAAACAAAGTTATGTATGTATTAAGCTGAAATAATAATAATACATTTTTTAATATTATCAAGTTTATACATTTTCCTTTTGATACACAATAGTACAATTTTAAGCTTTGTCCGATATAAAAATCAAAAGTTCTACGTGCAAGATAATTAAATACATTACTGTAATGTCTGATTCCGTTGATATTTCCAATATCAATATGACAACACTATGATAGCCAACTAATATGATAATTTTCAATTAACTCATAGCAACAGACACATTGCAGCTTAGTGTTTTGTTTATTATTATAATTTTTGATTCATTAAAAACTAAAACTAACGCAAGACCTTCCTTTGCACTTTAATGAGCACCATCAAAGTTCTGCAGAATTCATTTAAGGATAATTAAATAAAGTTTCCGTAACGACACAATTTATTCGTTTTTGTTTCTTAGAATTTTTATTTTTGTAAACATGTTTTAACAATTTTATTTCCTTAAACAGAAAATTAGCTTCTTAAATTAAATTAACTTCAGAAAGTTTAATTATTTGGTGTTCGGAATCAAAATGTGATTTTAAATTTATGCATATATTTAATATTACTAAATATTAAGATAATTACTAAAGATAATGTAATGATTTAAATATAAAGATAGGACGTCTCAACTAAAAATTATTAGGGTAGGTTAAGGAAAGAATAACAATACAGTCTTATATCATTTAAAGTTTCTTAATCCAAAACTTGAGGTATGCATACATTTGTATCACATTCAATATTGTGATATAGTTTAAAAATTAACAGGCCGCAAATTAGAAGTACAAGTGGATGTTGGATATCCCTAGTTCGTTTTATAAATTAATTTAACGTAGGAAAAAAATATTTTTTACGAATTGTTTGGTGTTTATCTCGATAGCCATTGGATAGATAACATGTCAGCTCTAAATATTTTCTTTTATGATGGACCTTTAAATTACAAAGGAAAAGATAATGTGAGAAAGTTATTTAGATAGGCTTTAATTTCCTATCTTCTCCATACTGCATTGTAAAGCTATATTAGGTTAGAGTAGTTGTTTTGTTTTTATTAGAAGGAAACGGCGTATCAGCATTTAAAACATTATCAAACTGCTATGTTAGCAATTACCAAAGAACCCCTAACTGTTTTAAATCAATTTGTTTGATTAAATTATAATTGTTTGATGGATATTGAATATAAAACGATTCACCAGGATCTTGTTTGAAACGAGCGTCATTGATTAAAGAGGCTGGAGTGATAATTACAACGCACGTATTCAAGCAGGTTCGGATGTCTGGTCTTGGTTACCTCTTTCTTTACAATACTTCAAGAATAAAACTACAAATTTTCGTTTGGATTTCGTCTGTATGAGTTATACAATTTTTAAACTACTGTATAACTTTTATTATCTTGTTTCATAACCATTGCAGGCTATTGTCACAGTTTGTTCTGATTCCGTTTACTAGTACAAGTAAGTGTTTTTGTAGTATGTGATTACACTAATTTAGATACTTAAGTAATTTATATATTACTTAGTTTCATCAACAATTCATTTCATGTATTTTTAGCGAAGTTCCCATATAGGGAATAAGCTATTACCGTAGGTCTCATGGTAAGACCTAGACCCGGGACCGATTTACTTTTTCGTTTTGAGGTCCCCAGAGGCCAAAAACGCCATCCATTCAAATTCATATATATATATATATATTTATATATATATATATATATATATATTTATATATGTGTCTGTTAGCGTGATAACTCGAGCAAAATTGATCCGATTTTGATGAAATTTGGTACAAACGTGTAAACCTACATTTATTCGAACGAGTTCGCGAACCAGCATAATCCGACCATGGGATCAGGGGTTTATGGGGGGTTTTATGGGGTAAAAATGGGTTTTTCTCATTTTTGACCCTAAAAACTTAAAATTTCTAAATTTCTCTCTAGACCATTTTGAAGAGCTTAAATAAACAAATAATTTAGTATATTGAAGTGTTTTTGAATGTTCATTGACTACGGAGAAAATTTAAAAAAATTGTAAATTTAAAATTCCCATGTTATTCTTATGGAGAATAAATAAACTGTTCTAGTTTGCTTGTTTATGGATATATTTTAATCAAATTTGGCAATTTGGTTTATTTCATACTAAGCTATCAATATTTCAATTGAAAAAACACACCTCAACATCTTCCCCGTAGCAGCAAACCTAACTACTCACTAAAATTAATGTTATTTAAATAGGAAATAAATCTGAAAATTTATAGGGAATATTTTAGTAGAAATCAAGCCGGGTAAATGGAAATTCGCTTAGTATGCAGGTTTGCTGCGACGGGGGTATTTTATTAGTATATTATTTGTATGTAATGTTTTTACTTATATCCATTATATATTTTATTCTGACAAGTTAGCTCTTTAAAAACTCAACTAACTAATGTATTGGTAACGGGTTCTTCACCTATTTCAACCAAGCAAAGTATTTACAATAATAATAATAAAAATTAAATATTAAAATACATTCAGTCAATATTTTCGTTTTTTTACAAACTTAACTCGAATACATTTACTACTATGCAACCATAATGCATTAACTTTTCCCCTATAAATAAATATATGTGGTGTTTTTGTGTCTTATTTGCTTTCCAAATCATCATTACAAACATTAAAGTGTGTTTCATAAATATTAATACAGTCAAATAAAGTT